AGCCTATGATGCTCACTGCTATTTATAATACAGCCGTTGTATTCCTGGACATTTATCCCATAAAAACCTGTTCTTGAATGTTAATAGTTCTTTTACTTGTAATAACCATAAATGGGAAACGATCCATATGTCCTTCAACAGGTGAATAAACAAGATGCCATATATCCAGACGATGGAATACTACTCAGCAATATAAAGACATGAATTATTGTTCACATCAAACAACAGCATGGATTTCACAAGAAGTTGGAGGAAGCCTTTCACGGGGAGATGGGGGGTGACCTGCTGATGGAATACATCCACCAAAAGTATGGTGGGGAAAAACAAAAACGAAACAGATGGCAGAACTGAAAAACAGAGACAATGGATTATTCATTCATTACCAAGTAGTAACGTTTATAAATTCAGATTATAATTGAAAGTAGGTTACAAAAATAGAAATCATAAATGTTATTCCTGTACTTTTCACACAAACAAAATTTTTAGAAAAGCTTAAGACTAAGCATGCTATAGAGTTTTTGCATAAAAGCAGGAATTTTGTCTTTTGAACAAGAACAAAAATCTCATGACACGAAGTATATCTATTAAAAATTGATTTTGTAGTAATTATTCTATATATTTTGAGTTATTTTTATATATTTAGAGCATATCAAATCAATTCATCTCTTTCCCTGTTAACAAAAAAGATACATTCACAGAATTAGTGTACTTGGAATAAAAAGTAAACAGAGGAAACAGGAGACCTAAATAGAGTCAATAAACAACATCTTTCAGGACAAGTTTGATCACTTGAAAACACAAAGTTGTGCTGGTTTTCAACTACAATTCTCATACTTAATGTTTCAAGTATAGCTGGTTCATCAGGCCAGCTTTTCAGGACAACAGTAAGTGCAGCCCAACACAGGACTGTCCAAAACATATTCATACTTCCAAGATGCTGACATGGTACCCCACAGAGGTCTGTGCGTAAAATTAAGAAAACCCTTCCAACAGTGATGTTCAAAGCCAGTGATGTTCAAGGCCAGGAGCATCCACCTCTCAACCTTGTATCAATCCAGGATTTGTAAACTACAGTTCATTAGGCAAGAGAGCAGTTTTTTCTTCCTCTGTGCTGAGGATGTTTTGAGATTCAGATCTACATTGAGGGAGAGAAGAAAAGAATTTCAATATTTCTCATCTTAAAAAAAAACCAGCATCTGCATCTCTATCCAAATATCCCCTTAAAAGTGTCTATCAAGTGATGAGCCTCAGAGTGCCCAGAAATCCAGTGACTAGAAGAATGGATGTAAAATGTTATTTCTTTTCCACTTGCACAGGCTGACTTTTAAAGGGAGAAAAAAGTCCAAAAGTTGACCATACCTTCTTCTTCTCCTTGAGTGCTCCAGTACATAAAATAAGCCCATGGCTAATCCCTTTAATACAATTAAAGATACTGGTTAATGTAAATTCCACAAATCAAGTTTCTCCACAAATGTAAGGGGAATGAAAATAAAAGATTGGTTACTCACACTTATCAGAGCCCACAGACCTTGTATAGCTGCTGCCCATTCAAAACCAATTTTCTCATACAGAAATCCACCCAGTGTTGGTCCTATAAAAGCACTAACAATGGAAAGAAGAAAGAGTATACAATAGTGCAAATTAAGTATTACTTCATAAAAGTTGCATGATCCCTCAATCATAGGGCTTCCTTAAATTGGAACCATAAGTACTAAAGAAAATAGCCAATTCCTGGGCATAGCATGGGGTATAAGAAAACAGTTCTACCGGATAATGATGATTTTTAAATTTTTAAGCAATTTCAAAATTGTAACTACTTCTGGAAAGTTGGTAGCTTATATAAAAATAAAAAAGATGACACACATTTAAAAAATTCTTTAAATTATTGTGTTCTCAGCATTTACATCTAATATATCTCAATTCAATACATATTTATTAACTACATACTACATTGCTAGCATACAGTTACCCTTCTGATAGAGAGTAAAAAATAAACAAATGATAAATAATTGAGTAAATTTTAAAAATCTGAGACATGTTTCTATTAAAGGAATTTATAAATATCACTTATATAAGATAAAGTATATGAAACCATTTGATTAGGTATTAAAACTGCTGGTATAACCACGGATTGTGGAGTCAGAGGGTATGGATTAGAACTTGGCTCTGCCCTAGATGAACTATTTGTCTTTGAGAAATTCATCTGACCTCTCAGCATCTCAATTTCTTCATCTGTAAAATGGGCATAGTATTTTCCATCTTGTACATGTGAATAAAATTCAATGACTACTCACCCAACCGACCACATTGCACTAAAGAGACCTGATACGAGTCCCAACGTATATAATCCCTCTTCAAAGCCATTTTCACTGCAAAAAGAGACATGAGTGTATCCATTATTAAAAGGAAAACCTGCATGAAAGAAAAAATTTATTATAGATAAATTAAGATAAACCAGGGATAATATGGACAAAACCAATAGCAAGAACACTGTACTTCTAAGATAAATAATGAATCTAATTTGAAGGAATTTTCATAGGTATACTCCATGGTTTTCTACAAATAATTTTATTACATATATAAGACATGATATTAAGAATCATGAACCATTAGCATTAAATGCTTATAAAAATATATAATTAACTAACAAATTCTTAAAATGAGCTAAAGATATAAAGAGAATAATAGGCCA